CCCTACACTCAGTTTAGATGACCTGAGAAGCACTTCCTCAAAATAACTCTCTGGTTCACCATGAGAAGAATGCCTAGCACCAGCTGGTAGGAGATATTAATAGCATGCCCATTAGGCACTTGTTCAAGGCACACAGATAGCTAGCTCAGTGATAAAATCTTTAGAAATATTTGGACACTTAAGATTATTTGGAATATGAATCAGTAATGGTTCCTTAAATCTTCACTCTAAATTTTAAGAAATCAACATCTGTTTCGGAAATTCTTAAAAAAATAAGCAATAATCGCTTTCGATTTGGGAGAAACTCAGTAGCTGGGCTAAAAAAAGCTTACAATAGCAAAATCCTTTTTTTTTTTCTTGTGACAAGATTCTTTTGAAGGATTCAGATGCTAAAATAGAGACTAGACTTCTGCCTTCAAATTTCAATATTTAGTATTTTAGTGATCATTTACCACTGATAAAGAAGTCTCTTGTCCACTAAACTATGTTTCTATCCCTCCACAGGCAACATAATGTCTAAAAGCAGAGATATGTTAAAAATTACAAAATATCCTAGGTCACCTTTGGAAGGAATTGAGGAAGAATGGGAATGGGATTTTAACCCATTTTAACCAATTTTTCAAATAATACATAATTTAGAAATACTTGTAGCTTTATCAGACAGAATGAACTTTTCCAGCTAAAAATTGATACTTGCTAGTAATCCATCCTTGATCTAAAATTTTCCAGATATCTAGTTTAACCAGCAAGAGACACAAATTCTAAACATCCTTTTACTTCTCATAAAATGGTCTATATTTTACATCACTTTAGATAGCCATAAAGACATTTTATTCTGAGCCATCACTTCAAAGTTTCTACAAAAGTATGTTAAAATGGGTTGCTTTTCTTACTTAGTGTGTAATGTCTCTTAATGTTTAAATCAATTCATATAAATATAAAAGATAAACAAGCAGCTTTGAGTTCTCAGATACTCAGATGAAGAGACTTTCTACTAGTTACCTACTAGGTAGAGATAGTGCAGAATAAACAAGATGTAGTTGCTGACCTTGGGGAACTTTCCATCTAGCTGAAGAATTAATATGAGAAATGAGAGTTAATGACCTAAGAGAAATGCTCTTTTGTGTGGTAATGAAGAAAACAGATGTTTACAGGCGGAGATATACACTATCCCTATTTTGCATAAAGAGGCAAATAAGGCTTGAGAGGTGGGGCCACATGGAAGAGCTTAGAAGTCTGATAGAAACATTTAGACTTGAAATGATAGCGAATGGGGCAGTGAGATATTTTTGCAAAGCAGGATGAATTTAGGTGAGCTAAAGGACTAAGGTCAACTAGAAAACTGATTAATATAGGTACAATTTTCTCTCAGTGCACTTTAAGCAGTATCTCATGAGATAACTAGATGCAAGGTCTCTGAAAATTTTTCTTAGTCTTCCCAAAGTCTTTTATACATTCAGTCACAATATATGTGCTATCTCTGTCTCTCAATCTCTCTCTTTTGCTCTCTCAAGTATATGTCAAGAAATTTAAGCAGGTGAATAAAAAAACAAGAGGAAAAAGGAAGCATAATTAATCAGTCTTAATCTAAAATTATTGGCACAAAAACATTTCTTACTCACTTGAAATTAATGTGAAAATAAAATTAAAAGGGTGTCATCACTGAATCTAATTACAGGAAAACTAATGTACGCTTCTATTCAACCAACCATTAAATTCACTTAAAAATACATGAAATGCATGATTATTACTTACTGTGTTTTATTTTGCGAGCGATTTAATATTTATGCATACTAAGAATAAAGTAATTTTACTTTGTCACACAATTCAGCACACTATCAAAAAAGCATAAGGTAATAATCACATTTAGCTCGAATAGGTAAGTAAAACAAATATACAATGATTTTACCTTTGTTTTAGTCGTCTTTTGGCTGTTGTGGGAACATTAGCACCATAGCCATAGGAAAAAAGAACCCTTTCAGCCTCAACTTCATTTTCAACTGGAAAATATTAAAATGTATGATGTGAAGTAACTTTTTCCCTTAAGCATGGCAGACGTGAAAATAAAAGAAGTCATAATAATGAATTAGGGAGCATAACAGGAGCATAATAGGGCTAATGTGTAATCTCGAACAGGTCATTTGTAAGTAGAAGCATATTTCTTAAAAGTAAATGCTTGCTTGGATTTGTTCTTTCTTTCTTTCTATCTATCTATCTATCTATCTATCTATCTATCTATCTATCTATCATCTAGATATCTATCTCCTCTTTAATCTACCCCATCCCCCTTCCACCCCTGACCTATGGATGTGCCGTTTCCCCTTAAGAACTGGATCTCTGAAGGTGGGGTGTCTCCTCCCACATGGGGTGGGGTATGGTCTGTGGCTCCACCTGGGGTGTGAACCCAGGACCTTCTGTGTGTAAAGCAGATGTGCTAATCACTACACTATGGAGCCACCCCCTTGTTCCATTTATTTTTAAAAGGTGTTTAAGGGACTGCATCATATGATGCGTTAAGTTTTCTTGTTATAAAACATAATATAGATATTGTGTTATTCTAAATGATTCAAAGTCTTTTTGCAAGAAATGTATGTTATGTAATTATAAAAAAAAAACTAATGATAACATTAGTTTTTAATAACTTCATTATTTCTCTTCCTAAGAAATGGCTATTTTTAATTAGGAAAGACATTCATGATTTTATCAAAAGAACTTTATCTTAACTTGTAATAATAAAACTAAGCATTTAAGTAGGCTTCTCTGTGAAGAAAATGTGCAGTACTAGGAATGTATTGATAGCCTCTTTTTTTTTAATTACAGGAAAATTCAGCAAAACCATTTCTTCTAAATTCTGCTATTGTTACACCACTTCCCAAAAGGAATTTTAACTAACAGGTTAATATTTTATAGGTAAAAAGTTTAAATGCAATGACAATTTTACTATAAGCTGGGATTTAATATTTTATCAAAGGCCATAAAATTAAAGGTTTACTAACTCAAAGCAGTCAATGATATATAACAATTTTATGATATTATTCATCAACATTATTTTAATGTCAAAAAAAGAAACTTACCTTTAGAAGCGTTTCGGATTTAAAACAAAGCCACATATTTTACATTAGTAAGTGAAGCTGACTATTTGCAGGCCACTCACTGTCATATGCACTTATTTATTGATTGATCCTTTGTAGTACAGTAAAAATTTTAGGAATATTCATTAGTGTTTTCCTTCAATTTGCCCCTATTTTTCACAGTGAATCAATATTAGTTTTTAGAGGCAGAATTTTAGTTGTGAGGGACATGTGAAAGGAAGAGGTGATACATGCCATTGGCAATAGTGTTATCAGGTATCATGGCTTCAGATCCAAGTTGAGTTTACCTATTCATGTCTATCAGAACTGGAGCTAACAGTTAGATACCTGGCTCTTGTGTCTTAAATGGTTCTAAATTGAGAAGCAAGAGGGGTAAATTTAGATAATATCTTAGAAAACCCATCAGTTAGGTATTAATGGACATCTTAAGTTTAATACTTATTGGATTAATAACTCATGTATTAACTATTCTTGTGGTGACTGAATCACAGAAACAATGTACTATACAACATGGTAAATGGTATTAAAAATATATGACTTAGAAGGACAGAGCACAGAGCAACTATACCCAAGTGCCACTATTTTTTCCATGCTAGAAACATTAGGAAGATGTGGGGAGACTGACATTCACAGAGAAGGTGCAGGAGGGAATTGTATATGGAAAGACAGAGAGCTGTGAAGTTTTAGTTACTGTAAGAAAAGTGGCTGGAGTTAGTCTGGAGTACAATGGTAGTAGAAAGGTAGGTTTAGTATTGTGAATGGGACTTGTCTGTTAAGCTTAGGAGTTTGTATTTTATTCTGTGTAGTCAACAAGAAATTAATACAGGAAGGTAACATGACCAATAGATTTTTGTTATTGATGCTGATATTGTACAAAAAAATTCCAATAATGAGGAAAAGCATAGCCTACATTGGTAGCACAGAGAACTCTTGACGAGTTATAGTAATAACCAGTTGAGACATGGTCCATAACCAAAATGGAGGATGGAGAAAAGAACCTGGATTCTAGACAGCTGAACACGTGTGGAAGTGAGATGAGGAACTAGATAGAATAAGGAAGGAATCAATTCTGACAAAAGCTGGCTGGGTAATCAGACAGACTTTAACCTTATTAACAGATTAAGAATATAAGAAAATCAGTAAGTTTCAGGGAGAAGAAAAAATGTAAATAATGTTAGATAGTCAATCACTGCAGGAGCTCCATATAGACCTGTGGGATCTCTAGTCTATGGATAGTAAGTGAAATCTAGGAAGGGATAAGATTATCTAGAAAGTAGATAAGTAAGAACTGAAGAGAAAAAAGCATGGGAACCACTAGAGTTAGACAGAAGAAGAAGAGATAACAAAAGCGATGAAGAAACAATCAAAAGCGATGAAGAAACAATCAAAAGAGAAGAGTTTTGAGAAACGTGACAAATGCCTAGCAAAGATTGCAAGCAGGGTGAAGATGGACAGAAGGTCCCTGAATTTGACAACTGGAAATCTGATTTTCATTTTATATTTGAATTTGTTTAGCTTTTAGTCAATACTTGTACTTTTAACAGCTTGATGAGATGTTTAAAAACTAAACTCCTCAAATATCCAAATAACACACTTATTTGATTAAAAAAAAGCAATTGGGTGTAAACAGGATACTGTAATTTGCCATGGTTACGTCTTAAAAAATGAAGTCTAATCATTTTTATGTCAGCTGAAATTAGCTGAATTAGATGGTAATCCCTTGAATATCATAAACATTATAGTACTAAAAGAATGTTCTGTGCTTACATCTTTGAAATTTCCGTTAATCAGTAAGTATTCATTAAACAAGATATTCTAATTTCCGATGTGAATAGATAGAGAAAAATCTAGGTTTTTGATCTTCCAAGTACAAGTAAATATATTTTATTTGAAGATAGTTTTAAAATGGCTTATATAATATCACAGCAAAAAATTAATTTCTGTATTTTTTTCTACAGATTTGATTAAGAAAATACTTACACGTATAGAAAAGTTGAAAAACCTGTACATACATCCATAGGCTCTATATCCAGATTCTAAATTAAACACTGTACTATATTTATTTATCATACCTCTTTCCATCCTCATATTCACCCACAAATATATCTTTTATTGGATGCCTTTCAACTCTCAATAGTTCAATATGAAAATCATCAATGATAGTTCAATATTTATTTAATTCTTTTTTAAAAAATAAAATTTATGTACAGTGAAAGGTACTTATCAGTGTTAAGTGATTGTTTTGCAATTTAAAAATACAGTCTTATTCTTCCTTTCTGATTTTTATACTTTTTTGTCCCTTTCATTTTTTTTTACTGGCTAGGGATTCAAATATAATGTGTAATATAAATTATGAAAATATAAACCCCTGCCTTGTTCTCTCCCTCAAAGGGAAAGTATTTAATATTTCATCATTAGGTATGATATTAGTTATCAATTTTGGGGGCAGATATCCTTTATCAGATAGAGGAAGTTCCCTTCTATTCCTAATCTGTTTTGACAGAAGGACATATGCAAAGTTGCAGAACTACAGAAGAGTATTGGCCTTTGAAAATAATATATGCAATGATAAGGCATGAGAAGTAGAAAGATAAATGAGTCTAATCATAAAAAAGTCATGCTAAAGGATCTGACTTTCAATTGTCTTAAGATGATAGGCATTTAAGCAGGTTTATGGTATGATCAAACCTGTATTTTATAAAGATTATTACTCTGACTCCAGTGAAGAAACTGAAGATAAATTTGGAAACTATTGCAATTACCACTGACCACATTGATAGGAATGAAATAAAAGTTTTTCTTAAATTTGCCTATAAATATAACATAATCTTTAAAAGAAGATGTGCCCCCAAAAGATTCAAATTTTACTTTAACTTCAACTGAAGTTTAAACCCACTTTTATAAGAATGCACTGTTATTTCTGACTTTTGAACAAAAATAAAGTACTGGAGCAAACATCACAATCAATAGTGAAATATTAATTTAAAATATTCCCTTAGGATCAGGGACAACACAGGAACACAGCATAATAGGAAGAGGGAAAAAAGAAGAGGTAGAAATTAAACAAAGATTATAACAGTAGATTCAAAGAATTTCTATCTGTTCTTCAAGACTCATATAAAATGTCATCTCCCCTCTTAGGTATTCTTCACTTCCAAGGTTGAATTAACTCAGATCTCATGTGTACTTTTACTGAGAACTGTCTACCTCTTGCTAATAGCACTTAGCTTACTATTTTAATTATCTGTTAATATATTTGCCTCTCCCAGTAGACCAAACTAGGAACCTCTATAAGCAAGCATTATTGCATGAACTACATTTCCCTAGAGTCTGGCATATGTAGATAATAATTGCTGAATGAGTGAACTAGATAAATGAAAAGATAAAATCTACCAAAGTTAAACTGATTTTTTTTTATCCCAACTGTTGGAATTAGGACTAATTTTTAAAATATAAAAAAATCTTTTTAAAAAAAGTCACAAATTATATTTGAAAGAAATGTACCAAAGCAGTTTTAGAAACAATACCAAGTTCTTTATGCTGCCAGAAATAAAAAGCTGTATTTGGGGAGGTGGGAGGCTTACTTTCTGCAGTTTGCATTATTATTTCATCAAGCTCTTTTTCCAATTTCTCATAAATGTCCAACCTTGCCTGATGCTCAGAGTTCTGTGCTTGAAGTTCAGTAATGCGTTTTTCAGAAGAGGCTTGGAGACTATAAAATTCTTTAGTTAAAACCTAATAGTGAAAGAAAAGAATTTCAAAGAATTTCAATTAAATAAGGTAACAGTTAAGACAAAAATGTGATACAAAAATATTTTTAGTTTTTTTTTTTAATGATTTAGATTTGAAGAGAAAGCTCAGTTGAGATGACTGAGGAAATAAAATATGTTTATGTCTAAGGAAAACAAATTAGTTGTTTTTAGTTGAAAATTACAAAGCACTTTATTATATACATTGAATAAAAAGTAAAGTTAAGGTGTTTCTCTATATAAGACATTTACACAAAGGAACACATTAATTACTAGTCACCTGCATCCACAGACCAAGTGGTAGGCCTATGGGAGAGTGGTTTTCATACTGCAAGTTATAACCTTTACGAGCTCATGAAATCAATGTGGATTGCAACGAGCTAAAAATAACAAAATAGAATGGTTTAGAAAACATTAGCACTGTATGTTGTATTGTTTAGTGAAATGTTTGTTTCAGAAATTAGAGAGAAAGTGCTTCTCTATTTTCCTATATATAATACCCCCTACCACTCTGACCCAAGACACATCCTTAAGCATACCCCTCCAATGTGAAAAGGAAAGGTATGTTGCTAGGAATTATGAAATTTAAACCATGGAAAACAGAACTTGCAAAAGACTCAGCTCGTGGATTACTGTCTACTGGAAGAAGTGTGGGAGAGTATGCTGCAGTAGATTACGACTGAGGCAGTTTCCCCAAAGGTACCTGAATTAGTTTTAAATGCTGAACACTGGTCTGTTTGAGAAGTGAACATCATCTACAATCTTTACTTATGTTTCTTTAAATATGTATGTATTTAATATTATTTGTATGTTTTTCCCTAAGGCTTCATTTTTTGTGAGACTCTTTATCTTTTAAATCTAATTTACTTATCAAAGTGCTTTTCAGAAATGTAATCTCTGAGATACATAATGAATACTTACATGTCAGCTATTTAATCATGCTAATGAGATTATCTAATCTTTCATTCACTGTTTTTAATGTTTATTTCCCCAAAAGCTAAAATCTTCAAGAACGTAATTGCATGTAATCATACAGTGCATGAATACAGCAAAATATGACTTATACTAATTGAAGATCTTTTAATTAACTACTATTGCACATTTAAGTTATTTCCAATTTTTATTATAATAATGCTGATATACACCATTAATATAAACCTTTAGAAGCATCTCTTATTATTTTTTTAAGAAAAATTCCTTTAACTAAAATTACCGGAACAACTTTTCAAGGACATTAACACAGATTACTACATTGCTCTCCAGAAGGGACATTCTGTTTTTTAAATGCACGAGATTTGCCATTTAAGGGTACTCTTGTCGGCACTTTAAAAACAACAGACCTATATAAAGTTTTAAAAAGTTTAAATTTACCTTTCTTTAATTGTTAGGGAGAATACATATTTTCGTTTATTTTATTTCTTAGCAATTTGCATTTCTTTTCTTGGAAACAGTACTTTCCTTCTTTCCACCTATTTATCTAGAAGAGGAAGGTATGTCTTCTTGATAAGAAGTCTTTTAAAACTAAAGACACATGCCCTTTCTCATAGGTAACACAAATATTTATAAAGCTCAGTATGATACAGACCTTGTGCTTATGGAGCTCACATGCTATGCTAATTTTAAAAGAAAAGTTTGTTCATGTACCTCCAATTTTTTCTGATATTTTTCACATTCCAACTGACACTGTGTGAGATTTCTTGCAGTTTCCTCTTGTATAAGTTGAACACGCTCACTTTCAAAAGATTTTAATTTACTTTGATGGAGAAATTCTGATATTTTGCTTTCTGTACTAAGTTGTAGTTCTCTGTACCTAAAAGAAACAGAATGGTTATGTGACTAAAGAAATCTCGATGATTTATATAAACATAAACATTATTTCTATTTTTCCACACTCCCATTTTATTGTGAAGTTAATAACTTACATTTATTCAGCAAAGGGTTTGTAAATAATTTTGATAGGTATATATATGGAAATATGCTAAGTCTGGAGAACAAAACATACCAGTGAAACTTCCTCTATTTGTATATAATGTACAAATTATAAAGATAAATGCATAACTACAAGTAGTCTATTACAACACAGATAAGGAACATTGTCTTTATTCTATAGGTATAACTAGTAATAAAAACATTTCCATTGAACACATAAATCATCACACATTATAAATTTAAAAATGCTTCAGGATGACTCTGTTCTAACAGAAAGCAAATCACAGAGATATTATACCTTTTCAGGGAGCTATTATGAACCTCATATAGTGCTAGACATGTTAGTAAAATTCATTTTTTCAAATATTTATTGTGTTAGTCAACGTGCTAGGTAAATATATATACAATGTAGACAAAATATGTTTTTTCCCCCTAAAGAACTCAGTTTTCTGGGGAAGACAGGCAAATAAATGTGAAGTTTATCAACAGAGTATGGTTAAGTCCTATACTAGGATAATAAAGGAAGAGACCTAAATTGGTTGCAGAGGGGGAGAGGAAAGGAAGGAGGGAAGGGGAGGGAATATGTGTGCGCGCAGGCACGCACAAAGCAGGAGCGGGTATGGGGTGGGAAGTAGTCTAGGAAGAAGTAGTAAGAATATGTGGGGTAGGGAAACAGCACAGTGTGCCTTATTCATGACATATGTCATTAGATCTCTACAACAACCCTATTAAGTATTTTGCAGATGAGGAACCTGAGGTTCAAAGATATCAAATAATTTCTTTAAAAGTATATTTTACGTTGGGTCTCAAATCCAGCTATATTTGACTTTACAGCAATGATCTTTCCACTATTACATGATATTCTTAACTGGCACTTCTGGTCAGGTAAACTTTCAAATGTTTTTTAAAGGTTGTTTCACTCTTATAAGAGACGATAACAATACCATTCAAAGTATACTCAGAGAAGACAGGCATTAGATATTTGCTATAGGTTACTTCACTCTTGGCACTCTTATTTTTGGTAAAAGCGACTCACATTCAGATTGGTGGAAGTTCCATTGAATTCATATTGGTACAGATAATATATAGCAAGGCTTTAAGGTGAATGTTAGCTTGTGTTTTTAACTTTTTGGAAAGTACTAGGATTAATCATATTCATACACACACACACACACACACACACACACACACACACACGCATATCTTCTTACAATTTTAGTTAAAAAAAAAATACCTTTTTTATATGGACAAGCCAACATTGATGTTTGTTATTGAGACAAAGCACATACCATAAAGTTCACCCTTTTAAAGTGTACATTTACTTTTTACTGCACAATCCATTTTTTTTATTATGTTCACAAAGTTATGCACTACCACTAAGTACAAAACATTTCTATCACCCCAAAAAGAAAGCCCATGACCATCTAGCAGCTACTCCTCATTCCTCTCTCCCTGCTGGTCCTCGCAACCACGAACCTACTTTCTGTCACTATGGATTTGCTCACTCTGGATATTTCATATAAATGGAATCACAGAATATGTGCTTTTGATATTTTCAAGGTTCATCCATGTTGTAGCAAGAATCAGTAGTTCATCACTTTTTATGCCTGAATAATTCCATTGTATGGATATACCACATTTGTTTATCCATTTATCAGTTGACAGACATGTGGGCTGTTCCCATTTTTTGGCTACTATGAAGAATGCTATTAAAAACATTTGTGTAGAAGTTTTTGCATAATCATGTTTTCATTTCTCTTTGTTAAATATCTAGAAAAAGAACTGCTAGCTCATATGGTCACACTCTTTTTGAGGGAACTGACAAGCTGCTATCCAATGTGGTGTTACTATTTTGCATTCCCACCAGCAATTATGAGGGTGACCATTTCTCCACACCCTTATCAAAACTTATCATTGTCTCTTTCGATTGCAGCCATCCTCATGGGTGTGAAGAAGTAAAAAATTATTTTACTCTTAACTGACATGAAAATGTCCCTGCACTCCCTGGGATAAGTTGCTTTATAATATAAATGTATAAAATGTGTGAAATCAATACTTATTTTATATATTAAAATAGGATATATAACACACAAGGACACACAAGACTGCATTACTAAAATAAGTTCTGGATAAGTTATTTAGAATGTGATATTGATCTTTAAAATAATTTGTTTTGAAAAGATTAAACTGCCTTCCTATGGATTCAGGACATTGTGGGTAATTCCGAGATCAATGCAAACTCCAAATAAGAAATTAAAGACTTAGCTTTTAGATTCTACCTGTTCTTCTCATTCATTAAACGGCACTTAAAAGTTACTCTTAGCACTATTATTCTTTCCTTGTATTATTGAAAAGTTAACAATGGTTATCGCCTAGAAATTTGAGAATGCTAAGTTTCATAAAGTGACAAACCAAAAGTTAATTCTGTAGATCAAATGAAATTTGAGAATACTGTTTAATAAATTGACCAAACAAATGATAATTCTATAAACTACATAATTCTAAAAGACTAATCTATTCCCATGTTTATACAATGAAAGGATTTGCTTCAAATCATTATGCCTTTGTAATAATAATTATCATTTTAATTTGTTAAATTGAACTGTGAAAATGCTGAAGAAACATTAGAGCTGCAAAAGCAGTTCCATAAGCAAGGAAGAGATGATAGAGCTTAGTCTGATAACTTCAGGTAACTCCCTCTTGCTTGATTTGCTAATATAACCTGTCACAGTTTACTAAGTTGACTCATCTCATCTTAGCCTCTTAATGTGAACATCTTATTTGAACTAAGCCAATGTTATTTACATGTTAACCACTTTATGTTTAACATTCTAATTCAGCCAGTAAGAGGTCAGATTTCCTATAAAGTTAACGTATAATCAGAATATTCAACTATCCTCATAGCCATCTCATCCCAGGCTCCAATTTGGCTGGATAAGTCTTTATGCTACATTTTTAATTAAAAAAAAGTTTTTTATAAGATTCATCCACATATCACATACTACTGTAAGAAGAGTAATAGAAAGTCCTAGAATAAAATGCTTGCTCTGAAGGAATTGTCACAGAAACGGATTTTTGGGCTGGACATATAAAGGAGAGGACATGTTAAAAAGGTGGAAATCAGCTATTAGCTAGGAAGCTGAGCTATAAGATGCTAACCCATAACAAATGCTCTCAGGCTATGGTGAATTAAACTCTAAGTACATGACATGTTCTATAATACTGAGAAATAACCACAGGAGAGACATCAGCATGGCACTGGATTCTCAGAAATGAGAGAACTAATTTGAACGAAAGCACTAGATAGAACTTTAAATAACAAGTTTTCATAACAGTATCTACCTTAGCAGTCTTTACATAAAAACTACGGTGAAAGTTTTGCTCATTACACTCTGATGTATTAAGCCAAGCAATGTATATGATTTGTTCCCAGTCTTTAGCAACAGGTTATCACTAAGGTGAAAGACCACATAGTTATTAGCCTTTTATTTAATCTTACTTTCTTCTTCCAATGAGAAACAGCTCATCTTTTAATTTTGTCCACAAAATGTTCATGGCTTACCCAATATTAAAACTGGGTATTTATTTTGAACTCAGTTGTCTAATCTCACTTGGTAGACAGGCAGTCTAAGGCAAAATACTCAAAAAATATTGTATTCAGTGGTAAAGTTCCTGTAATTTCCAGCACCACTTTTCAAGCTGGTCCGTTTGGAAGTAAGGAAGTGCAGCAGTTGAGGAAAGGCATTAGTGTGTGTGCAGGAGGACAGCTGTGTGTAGATAAAAGGGTACAGGAAGTAAAACCTACACAAGGAAGACTGGCAAAAGAAGCTAAGGAAACTATTACGACTTCCAGTGACTGATAAGGGTTCAGGAAAGGGTGTCTTCAGCAGTCGGGCATTAGGCAGATTAGCTGGGCAGAAAGCACTGAAAGGTACTTTGGGTCAATACAGAGAAAATACTGTGGTTTAGAAGAATACACGAGAGCAGGTAGTCATGGCTGGACCACTAAATCCTTTGTGTGAGGAGGGTAATTTAATCATAAATTCCACAAGCGAATGGGGCAGAGACTGATGATAAAACTTTCTATATGTAAAAAGAGTTCTTTGAAACAGAGATGGGCCTCAATCTCCAGATGGGAAGCCTTGGGTAGATGGTAGATTTCGCTGTGGGAAAAGGGAATTGACAAAGGCAGAAGTTGGCATCTCTAATCAACTGAGAATCAATCCTGCTTACTACAAAGGTTGGGATATCAATCGCACTTTACTTTGGTGTCTCAGGCTCCTTTTCCACTTATTCTTTTACTAAGGCCTTATAGAGCTAATGTTCAATTCCCTTAAATAACTCATCTTGGTTGAGTTAATAACTAATCTACACCTTAACTACTCTTTGCATCTGGTATTTCTAATTTTGAGTATATAAAACTCATTTTCAGTCTTTTTACAGAGAATTTTGGTTGTATTTCTAGACTTGTACCACATATTCAGAATGCCTCTGGATGAGTCACTGAATATAGTTAACCAAACCCTACGATTCACTTACTCCAATTAAGAATTGAGATTAAAACCTGTTCATTTGGATTTTTTCTTCTGTGGCTGAGGAAAGCTAATCGTCTTAGGTTAAAATACTAAACTACTGAGTTTTCAATTACCTCTACAGCTTTTTCCCCCTTGCTTTCAACAGTATATTCATATCTACATCTGTATCTGTACCTATATGTAATATTATATTAACCAGTATTCCACCAACTATACAATTAAAGTATAATGAATATGAGGCACAAGACACAATACTTTTTACAAAAGTATATATTTTTGTTTCTTCTTTAATAACTGCTATTTTACACAGGGCTAACTTTCCATTAATATGTTGTTCCAGAATATG